CATGCGTCGTGTGTGTGTCGTGCCAGCGGTCATTTTGACAATCGCCTCTTTTCTGCAGGTGACCTGCTCCACCGGCTCACCGGACACAATCAGTTGGTGCGATTTATCGCTTCCTCCCCCGTAGAGAACGCCCTCCTCACCTGCAGGTACCCACCCCTTTGGCTCTCCTTCATCGTGAGATGTAGAGGTTGTTGGGGGTGCGGAAAAAACTAACGCATTGCACGACCACCAGTGACGACTCCCGGGCACGCTTCTGGGTGGTCTAATGGCGCTGCTTGCCGCTTGACCACAAATAAATAAACCAGAATCAATGGCACTGATCATCAGTGGTGGTAAAGTGAAAGCCGGCCGATCAAGGTGATCTGGGGAATGGGATGGTGTTGCCAACTCCCGGTCCAAACCCAGACACGAGGCCAGCGGGTCACGGCCGAAATTCCGCAGCAAACCCGGTTTACTCAGCGCTCATTGGTCAACGCTCCCCTACAAAAGGCTGGGGGTCTTGGAGCTGCACTCAGTTCCTTATCCGCCCATCACTCCTTTCTCTCACTTTCATCTTCACCCACTACACAACGCTTTCACTTTACCACCAACCTTCTTGCGCGATGACCATGAAGCGAACGTTTGTCCTGGCGGCCACTTGCCTGCTCGGCCTGCTGGCCGTGGCCCAGGCCCAGATGGACTGCGGTGCGGGCTTCTTCGGGGACGCCAACGGGTGCTGCCCGACCTTGATCGACGGACTGGCCTACTTCCCCGACTCCCAGGGCTGCTATCCGCTCTCCCTCGAGTCGGGCGTCTTCTACGCGGACGAGAACGGCTGCTACCCCAACGAAAACGTTCGTTCGCCACCCTTCTGTTGGTATAGACATGTCTCTTCGTATGGCTGATGAGATGACTCGACCGCTTATAGGGCACGTACCTGGAGAATGGCGGTACCTGCACCAACGTGTGCCAGGCCCAGTGCTTCAACACGACCCAGGGGGCCACCTCGCCCACGCCTTCGCCC